CATTTTGCACGTCTACAATACATACAAGTTTGATGTCATTCCAACAAGAGAAATGAAAATGGAGAGAGAAAGAGAGAAAGAGGGAGAAGAAGAGAGCCGAAGATCCATTCAATTAGAAAGAGAAATTTCGTATTCAAAATAACTCAGTGGCATTGCTGTGCATCATAATTAGAGTGAACTTTTCAAATATTTACTTGCAGAGATAGAATAGTGACAAAGTCAACTTGAAATGATAGCTGCAAGAATAAAGAAAAAAGGGAAGGAAAAAGAGTGCTGAGATTATTCTTTCCCGAAAAGTATAAAAAAAAGCAGTTAAATATAACTTATTACAATGGATGAAAATTTTTATTAGAGAAAATGAAAGGACTATAATTTTGGATCTTTTCCTGAAAAATAAAAGTGAAAAGAGGTCACATTGTCTTTTCTGAAATAGAAATAAAAATCAGTACTCTTTTGATTGCAAAAAACTATTCCTGAAATGAGTTGTTTGAAGAAATTTGCGTTCTAGTAGGTGAAAGGTCATCGAATAAACAGTATGCTCATTAGGGATTTGTAAAGCTTTGGTATATTTAACATCTCTTCTATAAACATTGCACTCTTCATTTGATTTTATTTGTGATTGAAAAGTCTTATTGTTGTAAATACTTCGTTGCGATGGTTTCTATAAATTACAGTAAATGTTGGTGGGTGGATACGAAGTGAAATTTACCTTTAATGTAGAGAGAGAAGAAAGATCACGATGGGGAAAACATCAGGGAATCCGTTGCTGAGTCAACTGAAAAAAAAACACAAATTGATTTAAAAAACAATTCATTGCAATATTTCATAACAAACAAGGTAGCTATTTGTCAATTAGAAAAAAAAATTCAAGAAAATTTAGTTTGTAATTGTGCAATATTTGTTAGATAAACCGCTGGAGCGGATACAGAAAAGGAAATATGCAATGTTCCATAGAAAGTTCCAGATTTTACATAAGAATTTGTCATTTGCAGGGAATGGAAGAGAAATTGAAATGGAAGAGACTGATTGAAAGATATTGATTCTTTTAATCAAATAATTATCGAATTAAATCATTTCTGTTCCTTCTAGACAGACCGAAAGAAAATATTTATACGGGAAATGAAGAAGATTGGTTCTTGAAAAAATAGCCGATTTTCCACAAAGTTTTAAATAAAGGAGAAATTTTAATTTGTTCCCGAAATAAAAGAAAAACGCTAATGAGGTCTTAAATAAAATTGATAATATATAAAAATCCTGAATAAAGGCAGTTATAATTTTTTTTCAATCATTATTCCTAAAAAATTAGAAGAGAATAATGCCGAAACTAGAAAGATTGACTATTAGATGAATAGATTAAATATTTTCTGGTATCCCTCAGGGAATTTTTCATCATACGATTAGTTTTCTTTACTATCACTAATCATACGATTAGTAATAGTGAAGAATTTACGCTTGCTTCTTCCTTCTTCACTGTTAAACTTTAAAATAGTAATATTTTTCCGTGGAATGTTCCGATTGTAACTTGATAATATTAAAGAAAAAATGTTCAATTCATTTCATTTTATGTTTGCTTCAGGTTAAACTTTTTTTTTGGAAATCCCGAACCCGACAGGATTCCAAACGAAATTTGAATAGCTATCAAACTTTTCCAATTAAAATTAAAGACATACTGAATCTTAGATCTTTGTTTTTTTATTGCTGCTAGCAATTAATTAGCATTTGGTCTAGACAGCATCTATAAACGCAAATAATGGCCATATTAAGGCCAAACTGTAAAAGTAGCAATAAAATAGTAAATTTACTACTTTGCACTATTTTTATTTGGAAATTGTACAACACTCAATTTCACTGCTAACAATTCGTGGAATTTTTCGCTTTTTTTATCTATTACTCACTAATCACTGTCCTGTTTACTTACTATTGCTTTACCCTTTTACCATTCATAAGTAAAATCATGATTTATTTGATCGGACGTCTAAACCCAAATTTAAATAGTAATGCATCTATTTCAAATTTAAATCTTATTCGCACTTTTTGATTTTCATAATTCTCAAAATCAAAAGTGATACTGTAAATTTGAAAAAGTGGAAATACATCACTATATTAAATTTGTATCAATTCAAATATTCGAAGGAAATTTTCCATCTCCAGTTGCACATACTTATCGTTTGTATTCATTTTCAGGTTCAAAATGCAAGCTGTTTATAAGCAAAGATTATCGAGACAGTTTAACGGACAGTGCAAGGTCGAAGTTGATCTCATTACAATTTATTATTTCACACATCATATCATTATTTGCAGAAAGGATCGAAAAGATTTCCACCGCTGAATCATTTTCGTAGTTCCGCTTGTGCGGAGAACATTTCCGTCTTGCACTCTTTTATTCCTATCTTTAATTTTCTCATTACTAATTTCATTTATAAACTTTTCGTGGACGAATTTCTCATTTGAATTGTGATAAGACATCTTATTTCAGCTTTCCACCTTCAATAACTAAAATTAGCTATTTTTGTGGCTTTTGAACTTTTCCAGGCATTGCAAAACGAATGGGATCAATTTCAGAAGTGACTATGCGTCAGTGATTGCAGAAATGAATCCTGAGTAGCATGGATTTCGAGAGATCAATCCATAACCGCGATCATTTGTTTTTTTTTTGTTTTCAAATGAAAGATTAAAATAAACTGTCAGTAACGCAGAAGAAATCAATAGACATTTGGAAATCATACGAAGCAATGATATGAAGCCTTTATTGTGTATTCACCAAATAAATTTAAATTTGTATAAACTTAAGGAAAGGAGATAAGTGCGTCCCATTCTTTTTCTAAATTTACATATGCGAAAAAAACCTATTAAACGGAGTAATTTTAATCAAGTATTAATACTTCTATGGTGTTTTTCTCTTCCAAAGGAACAAACGGTTGCTCACTTGGAGAAAATGGAAAGGTATCCATTAATTCCTAATCAAAAATACTGTCATTCATAGAGCATGAAGAAAGAAATCCAATGCTATGAAGAAATCCCGAATTACGATTATAGTTTCATAAATGAGTCTCATAAAATTCATTTGAAATAAAAATTTTGATATTTTTTTGAAAAGAAATTCATCATTCAGAAAGAACATTAGAACCAATACATTGAAAAAAAAGAAATATTTTTTCATTTGTAGCTTCATTTGCTTATTTTAAACTGAATTACTTTGTTAGAAAAATCAATATTTGTTTTAACTGTCTTAACTAAGCAACTGTTAAATAGCCTTTAATAATTTGAAATTTTAGTTTTTTTTTTTTTTTAATTTGACAATTTTCACGTAAATTCCATTTACAACGATAGAGTTTCACGAAAAAGTTACTTATTTAAAAAAAAAACAGCTGAAAAATTTGCTTCGAAGCTTTTCAAAATTAGTGGGAATCTGAATGGTAGCAGAATCCTATATATGATGGAATTGATTGATGCAGTACAAACGATTTCTCCTGCCGTTATTCTCACTTTGCTTATTTTTTTAGAGGTCACTTTTCATCGATTACTTTTTAAATTTTGAAATGAATTCCAATCTACTCTATAGTATTTCATACATCCATAGAGCAGGACTAGGAAATATAAGTAGAATCTTTGTTCATCTAAGTATCACTCACTTCCTCCTCTCCCTTTTTTCTCTCTCTCGTCAAAGCACAAACTCAAATTTACAAGTTTTATTCGTGAAAAACGCTAATGTAGTTCCTTTTTCAGATAGCACTGGCAATATTCACATCGGAATATGTAAAAAATTTCATGAACAAATCGATTAAACATTTGCAATCAATAGATCAAAAACCGTCCGATGTAGAAAACATAGAGCAAGTATATTTAAATAGCTCGTAAATCCATCCTTAAATTGAAATCATAGGTAACAGGAAAGGATTAGATAACAACAATTAATGCTGATCGAACAGAGGTTAATAGAAATTTCATTGGTTTGGTATGGTTAAGTCATTCAATAAATAATTATTGAATTTACTGAATAAGTCGAGTTAAATATATAAATTTAATTATTGTGCAACTAAAAAAGTGAGAGAGAAAATTGTGCTATTCAAACATAACATATTATAAACTTTAACCCTTTTATTCCTTCTCTTTCAGAATACCATTGCATATTTACATAGTTCAATTTTTTTTCTATTTGATTTATAATAGTAACATATCGAAATACTCACTCCATTATTATCAATCATTGATTTTTTATTTAAATAGTGAATTATTTTGGAATACTTCTAAAGGTAAGCCAAACAATTACGGATGCGGCAAGAAGTGAAATTCAACAATTCAGTGAGGGAATTAAGAGGATCAGTGAAGCACTAATGAGTAATCAAATACTATTTAAAGTTGGTTCTCCGAAATTGGCTTTCTATTTTATACTTGAAATACTTTACTAAATAGGTAGAATAGAAGCTTCAAAACCAAAAAAGGAAAGAAAAGCACTTTGATTTTATAGATAGACATATAACGGAAGTATAGGCGCGTTTGCATTTCACTTATTTAAAAGAACATTGGGTTTTGCTCTCTTTCTCTCTCTCTCTAAAGCTACCACGAAGAAAAGGTTTAAAATGCCGTTTAATCGAAATCTCTTTGCAGCTACTGATGGATGAAGAAATCAATCGCGAAACGATGAGAATGATTTATGGTACGGCAAGCTAGAAACGCAAAGATTGGTGGCGTGACGAATGATGACTTTCTTGAGAACTTCCCAGGAATCAAATATTTGTCACATCTTTTCTTTCTCCGAAATAAACATATAAGCAACCTTTACTTTATATTCTACATTAAAGGAATGATAAAAAAGGGAAGAGCTGAAAAGTAAAGAAGGAAAGAGTAAATTAGTTCAAAAAACTCCCTCGTACCATCGCTATTTCTGCTGCTCATTAGAATGAGTGATAGCTGTAATAGCTCGATGGGATTTTTATTTTCATGCCGGGCAATATATTCCTTCATTAAAACCGAATCGTGGGCATTAATAGCTTGTGGCGATGGTTGTTGTGACAGGTGTTGAAGGTCAGGCGGAAACATCCTCAGGTCAGGATGATTCTACCGATGTATTGCTTGCGCTTCAGAAATATCAGGTACATTTAAACCAATAATTTTTACGCTGTTCCTCTGCTTGTTTGTGGGATTATTCTGTCGATGCGTTTCATTATTACTTGATGAATAAGATTTTTTAATGCCGGGAAGTGTATATGGAATGATCTAGCTTCGGTATATTTCACTATAAATGTATGAATATAACTTTTCCTCAATTTTTGATCAATTAAATTTTGGTTCAGTAAGATGTTTGCAGGTAAGACGTAAACAAATCGAAGAGGAGGAAGTACGGAGGCGCCGGGAAGGTCTTTTATCAGATGAAGAAGACACTAGTATGGACGATGTCTTCATTCCTGCCAGATTACGGAAAAAAGAAAAGGTAATTTCCATTATTCTGATTAATTACATTTAAATAAATTTAAGTCAAAAGTCATTGACTTTTTACAGCTCTGTTTTTATTCTCATATTAAACCTTATCTATTTTATCTTGCTTAACTTTTTTACATTGAAATATATGAAATATTGGAGTTTTTACAGTAAAAAAACTCCCATGTTGACTAGGTCTTACTAAGCAAGCATTGCCTATTTTTTTCTTTCAGTTATGCAGTTTATTTTTTTGCTATTTGCATAATTATTATTGAATACTTTAAGATGCATCGAAGAGCTCTGTTAAAACAAGTATTGCATGCAAAAGGTGGTGCTCCAGATGTGGACACAGAAAAGGAAGATTTGGAGTTTTTGGAGCGAAAACGACGGAAGAAGGAGGAGGAAAGGAAAGCAGAAGAAGCGAAAAAGTCACTTCTCGAAAAACATAACGAGCTTTTGGAAGCAGAGATTGGTAAGTACTAAAGCTATTCAAATATTTTAGCAGACAATTTAGATTTTAATTTCCAGGAGACAGAGATTCAGAAAAAAGAAAACGAGAAGAGGAACAGAAACTGTTGGAAAGTGTCGCGCCTGGAACAGGTACTGAATATTCG